CTTCAGCCACCTCTCCAGGACCATGTGTGCCTACATGCTGTCATGCTCGCCACCTTGATGATAATGGACTAAACCTCTGAAATGTAAGTTGTAACATGAAATAATTAAAGACCCAGAGTCTGATATTTGGGTTCAGGCTTCAAGCAGAATATCAGAAAAGCAAAGCAGCTGGCCACTAGCTTCTTATCTCTACCCAGGCTGAATGGGTTGGTCCTGTTTCCATGAACTCTCACTAATCCTCAGGCTGTGTAACCTTTTCTCAGCTTGGCTGGAGAATGAATGCCTCTCTGATTTCTTTTGTTCTATTTCTAATATGAATAGAGAAAGTTGGGGCAAAAGAGAGGATTATGAGCTGGTGATATTGTCTGTGGAATTTTTGCAAATCACTTTCATTATGTTTTGGTATGTCCTCTGTATCCTTAGTCTCTCCTGGACTTTTATCCTGAAAGCATGTTGGATTTTATCAAAGCCTCTTCATCTAATGAGATGATTATGTAGTTTTTCTTGAGTTTGTTCAGTGTGTTCTATTCCATTTTTCAATTTATTTATTTTTCTCTCTTTTTTAAAATTTAAATTAGAGACTATCTTGTTTTACCTATCAATCTCAGTTCGCTCTCCCTCCCATCCTCCCATGTCCCCCACTGACCTCCCATCCCATACCTTTTCTTCTCCCCAGGGAGGGTGAGGTCTTCCATGGGGGATCATCAAAGTCTGTCACATCATTTGCAGCAGGGCCTAGGCCCTCCCCCATGTGTCTAGGCTGAGAGAGTTTCCCTGTATGTGGAATAGGCTCCCAAAGTTCATTTGTGCACTAGAGATACCATTTATCAATTTATGTAGGTTGGACCATCTATGCATCTCTAGGATTAAGTCTACTTGGTCATGGTAGGTAATCTTTTAATGTATTTTTGTATTCAGTTTGCAAGTATTTTGAGAAATTTTGGGTTTATGTTCATAAGGAAAAATGGACTGTAACTTGCTTTCTTTGTTGAGTAATTGTTGCCTCATCAAAAGAATTAGGCCATGATCCTTCAATTTCTATTTTGTGGAATAATTTGAGGGGTACTGATGCTTATTCGTCTTTGAAGGTCTGGTTGAGTTCTATGTTGAAACCATCTGGCCCTGGGCTGTTTTGGGTTGGGAAATTTTTAGTTGCTGCTTCTGTATTACTAGTGTTATAGATATGTTTAAATTGTCTGATCTTGATTTAACTTTGGCAAGTGGTATGTATCAAGAAAATTATCCATTTCTTTTAAATTTCCTAGTTAGGAGGAATATTGATTTTTAAAGTATCTCCTTATGACTCTAGGGATTTCCTTGGTGTCTATTATGATGGCCCCTTTTTGTCTCTAACTTTATTAATTTGAATCTTCTATTCCTTTCTGTTTAGTTTGTTAAGGGTTAATTAAGCAAGCTTAATGATTTTCTCGAAGGACCATATCTTTGATTCTTTACAATTTTTTGTTTCTATTTTATTGATTTCACCCCTGAGTTTTATTATTTCTTTCCATCTACTCCTTTTAGATGTTATTTTGTTGTTGTTGTTGTTCTAGAGCTTTCAGATGCGTTATTAAGTTGCTAATATGAGATCACTCCAATATTTTTAATGTGGGCACTTAGTGCTTTGAACTTACCTCAGACCTTCCTTCATGTGTCCCAGAGGTTTGAATTTGTTGTATTTTCATTTTAATTCAATCTGAAAAAAAAATTTAATTTCCTTCTTAATTTCTGTCTTGACACATTTTCAACTCAGCAGTGAGTTGTTTAGTTTCCATGAGTCTGTATACTTTCTGTTGTTGTTGGTATCCAGCTTTAATCTATAATGGTTATTCAGTTTTCTTCTGTGTTGAGATTTGCTTTGTGTCCAAGTGTATGGTCAGTTTTGTAGAAAGTTCCATGATTTTCAGAGAAGAAGGTATCTTCTTTTGTGTTTGGGTGAAATATTCTGTAAATATCTATCATGTCTATTTGTTTTATAGCATCAGTTATCTCCATTTCCCTGTTTATTTTTGGTCTGGACGGCCTGTCCATTAATGAGAGTGGGTTATTAAAAGTTACCCTCTATCCTGCTGTGAGGGTCAATATGTGATTTAGCTGTAGTAGTGTTTCTTTTATGAACTTGTGTGCCTTAGTGTTTAGTGTATAAATGTTTAGAATTGTACTTACCTGTTGGTGGATTTTTTCCCTTGATGAATATGTATTATCTTTCCCTATCTCTTCTAAATAGATTTACCTTAATGTTTTGCCAGATATTAAAATGGCAAGTGCTACTTGCTTCTTGGTTCTATGTTTTTGAATATATTTTTCCATTCTGTCATTCTAAGGTGATGTGTGTGTTTGATGGTAAGGGTTTTTTTTTTTTTTTTTTTTTTTTTTTCTGGATGAAGGAAAAGGATGGCTCTTGTTTCCAAATTCAGTATCTTTTACTGGGGAATTGAGACCCTTGATGTTGAGAATCATAAGAAGTATTTGTTAATTTTCATCATTTTGTTGTGGGGTGTGTGTGTGTGTGTGTGTGTGTGTGTGTGTGTGTTCTCTTGCTTGTATGATATTATTTTCTTGACTATGGAAATTTTCAGGTGCAAGTTTTACTTCTACTTTATGAAGTGATGGATTTGAATATACATATTTCTTAAATATATACATCCTACTTAAATTTGGTTTTATCATGGAATGTCTTTCTTTTTCCATCTATTATGTTTGCAAATTTTGTGGGTATAGTTGTCTGGACTGGTATCTGTGGTCTCAGAGTTTGTAGAACATCTGTCCAGGCTCTTCTGGCTTTTAGAGTCTCTATTGAGAAGTCAGGTGTTATTCTAATAGATCTGCTTTTATAAGTTACTTGTTTTTTCCTCTCCTGCTTTCAGTGTTTTTTTTTTTTGTTGTTGTTGTTGTTTTTGTTTTGTTTTTTTTTTAATGTTCAGTGTTATTGGGAATGTCTTTTCTGTTCCATTCTATTTGGTGTTCTGTATACTTATACATAGATAGGCACCTCCTCCTTTAGGTCAGGGGAATTTTCTTTTATGATTTTGTTGAAAATGTTTTATGTACCTTTGACATGGGTTTTCTCTCCTTTCTGTATTCATTTTATTTGTAGATTTAGTCTTTTCACAGTGCCCAAGATTGCCTGCGTAATCTGTGTCTGGAATATTTCAGAGTTAACATATTATTTGACTGAAGTATCCATTTCGTTTACTATAGCCTCTATGTCTGAGGTCTGTATTGTCTTGCACTCTGTTAGTGAGGCTTACCTCTAAGGTTTTTGATTTACTAATTTTTTTTTCAGTTAGTCTCAATTTGGATTTTCTTTAGTGATTTTGGTTCTACTTTCATGTCTTGAACTGTTGTTTTCACAGACTTAATTATGGGATTTATTTATAGCCTCTTTATGGTTCTTGAACATACTCATAATTGCTGCTTTGCAGTCTTTGTCTTATACTCCAACCTTATTGCATATCTCTGTGCCTACTGTAGTAGACTTTGTGGGTTCTTTCTGTTAGAGGCATGGTCTTAACTCTTGATGTTTGTGTTTTTGCATTAGTGTCTAGACATCTGGAGTTAGGATGACTGTGGTAATTCTAGGTATTTGTCTTAGGGTTTCCATTGTTATGAAACACCGTGACCAAAGCAACTTGGGGAGGAAAGGATTTACTTAGCTTGTACTTCTATATCATTATTCATCACTAAAGGAAGTCAGAACAGGAACCCAAACAGGACAGGAACTATAAAGGAGTAGCTGATGCAGAAGCTATGGAATAGTGGTGCTTATTGGCTTGCTCAGCCTACTTTCTTATAGAACCCCAGGGAAGGCACTGTTCACAGTGGGCTGAGCCCTCCATTGTTAATCACTAATTAAGAAAATGTTCTATGCCTGGGTCTTATGGAAGCATTTTCTCAATTGAGAAACCTCAATTGAGGTTTCCTCCATTCAGGTAATTCTAGCTTGTGTCAAGTTGATGTAATACTAGCCAGCACCACGTTGATATCTCTTCTTGGCTTTGCTCCATGGATGTTTCTTTCTTTGGTTTCTGTTGTGCTCTCTGGATATTAGGAAAGTGTGTTGCCTGGTAGAGAGTGCTGCATGTCAGTGGGTGGAAGATAAATACAGATGTATGCTAGGAGAAAAGGCTGTGAGGGGCTTCAGAAAGAACAAATGGAATCCTTTCCACACCAACAGGTGGTGTCTCCAGGAAGTTGGAGGTGTGGTGGGAAAGGGAGATCCTGTTAATAGGTTGTAGCAAGGTAGAGAATAGTCTGGAAAGATGGATGAAAGGTCCAGGATGATCCTGCATCTGAGCTAAGAGTTGGAGTTGAATGCAGTTGGGATGGGAGGGGCAGACCTGTTTGCAGGTTGTTACTGGGCTGAGGAAAATGGAGAGATTGTAATGGAGAACAGGAAGGATGTTGTGACTCCCCTGCCTGAGTCCCTGTCTGGTGTCACTGATATTCCCAGGTAGAAAGTATTTCTGGGTATCTGGACCTAACTCAAAGGGTTGGGGATGAATTAGAAGGGAGGGCTTGAAGTGGTCCACAGGAAGAAGAAAAGCTGGGTCCACATCAGTGCTCTGCAGTTTCCAGGGGATGGAGACAGGGTGGAAGGACAGGCCCTTGCAAGCAGGCCACTACAGGGCTGGGAGTGAGACTGGAGACATTGTAATAGAGGACAAGAGGACAGGCTAGTTGTTCCCTCCATTTAGATTATTGCTTTCTTGACTAACCTATTGCCTACTCTAAAGTGAGATGGAGGGTGAGGTCTTACACTGCTTCAGTTAAAAATGTAGACCATGAGTTTATGTTTTCTTGTGCGTATCTTTTAAAATGTGGAGCATAAATGCTGCAAAGTTGAAGACTTTTTATGAAAGAGTAAATTAAAAATCCAGAACCTCCCTAAGAACCGTGTGTCAGAAATGTAGTTTGGGTGGATGGACTCAAGCGGTAGGGATGTGGCTTTACTCTGGGGACTGTGCATTTTCCCCTTCACTTTCTGGTATTTCTCTTAGAGTAAGTGAAGAAAAGGAAGTGACAGAGGAGCGACTGAAAACTGAGCAGGAGTCCTTTGAGAAGAAGATCCGGCAGTTGGAAGAGCAGAATGAACTGATCATCAAAGAAAGGGAAGATATCCTTTTGAGGCTTACTTTCATTTTTGTGTTCAGCAAGTTTGGCTCTTGTGTGAAGAAACTGTAAACTCCAGAGAAATAATTGTTCTGATTTATAACAGGGAATAAATCTGCATGTGCTGCCTTTTCTAGGCAATCAGAAAGACACTTAGCAGCATGTGCTGTTGCTTCCTGTGTGCTTGATAAGGCCACCCAGCTGTTCTGCTGCTGTTACTACTCTGTGAAGCACAGATTTGTCAAGTAAAACAGACAATATGAAATTTGGGCTTTACCACAAAATGTTGGGTCTTCATTAAATTGCCCCACTGCTATAATGGGGCCTTAACTTCCTCATATTTAGATTTCTTTCTAGGTAAAGATTAAACAGCTCAAAGGAATCCTATTCTGTTATAAATAATGGGATGAAAAAATTATCTAGAAACCAGAACAACTTATAGAATATATAGCTGTTGTTGATAAATGCTTACACTACAGTGTAAAACCAATAGGCAATAGTCATAAAGCAGAGAACTTTGCAGTTTAAAGTTGGAAGTGTGTGTGTGTGTGTGTGTGTACATATACCTATGTGCATTGTTTGTAAAAAATAAACATATTTTTAAGATTTACTTTCCGTTTACATTATAAGTATGTGTGTGGGGCTTCGTGTGTGTGAGAGGAGGTACCCATGGAGGCTGGAGAAGGGGTTCCCCTGGAGCTGCAGTTACAGTTGTTTGTTAGGCCCCCCCCCAATATTGCTCCAGTACAAATTTATTTAAATGTGAGGGTTTTACTTAGAGGGATATGTAAATTAAAGTCACCATACATATGGATTTGTTTCAGTTAGGTAGAATCACATGACATAGATCAAAGAGAGAGGCAGCTGTCCCTAAACAGAGAATGGTAGATCTTTGAATGCTTAAAAGAACCATTGTCCTTACTGGCAGTGTCATTACTAATTTGGTGGTTATTGTTTCGAAGATTCTGCAAGTGACAGACATACTCTCATATTGACAATAATCATGCATTTAAAAATATTAGAGAAATCTGATCATAAAGAAAAATTAGCTTAAAAACCATGAAACTGTAACTATAAAAAATGAGTTCTGAACTGGTTTTTCACATAGTGGAAGTATATAGGAGAAAATTAATACACTTAGAATTTTTACATTTGATTTGCAGAGTAGAACATTAATAAGACTTATTGACTCTACCATAGTAAATTTTAAAGCTTTTTTCCATTCTCTTTCTCTGTGTGTGTTCTTCTGACTCTGTCTCTCTGTCTCTGTCTCTATGCCTCTGACTCTTTTTCTGTCTCTTTCTGACTCTGTCTCTGCTATCTGTCTGCCTCACCATCCCTCCCTGGATAATCATGTTGGACCTCTTCTGGCTTGTTTTGACTTCATTTTTTCCAAGAATGTCAGCCCTCAAGACAGAGACCATGTTCTGCTGGTTTTCTCTCCATGTCAGAGAAATTCTTATTACACATTTTGGATAGCACTTTCAAAAAATGGTTTAGAAATCCAATGACATTTTCGTTTAAAGGGTCTGTTTTTCACATAATAAGAACTGGAGAGATATGGCCTCTTGTATTGATTTGTGGGTGTAAAGTTAGCAGTATAGGCTACAGTCCTAGCTTCTAATGGCTGCTCCCATTCAAAGGACCCGATTTGAATTAGGGTGTGAAGAAAGGGCAACTGTAAAGTACTCTCCATTTAAAAAGAAAATAAAAGAACTTTTCGGGATGTCCTCACACCCATCACCTGATAGTCTTTTATGATATTATTGATGTTATGTGGCTTTGGTACCACACAAAAGAATCTGAGAAAGTGAATCACACAGCTTGTCTGACTTGGACAGTTTTGCAAGCATTTAGGGAGGAGAGTGAAGTTAGCCTCCAACTCTGGTAGCAAAATTGGGGGATATAGAATTCACTTTCTATAGGAAGAATGGAAGAAATATTTTGACAAAAAGATGCATCAGCGTAAGTTGAGGGAAGACAGTAAGAGAGATTGGTATTAGAATATTTGAAAGATTGGATAGCCTGAGTAAGTCCTTGTTTCTTTGTATAGTGTTACACTTAAAAAACTTATGTAGCTTTCCAGGAAGGTAGCCTGGGATTTCAGTGGACAAGGACATTAATTCTCTGTGAAGAATGGTGTTTTTAGTGCTGAAGCTATATGCATTCATCATGCTCATGAAGGATTTCTTCTGGAAAGCAAAGTGTTAAGACAGCCTAGGGGTATTGAAGTGGTACAATATTTAGCGTTTCCCATCTTAGCCTAAGACACAGTCTGTTACTTCTGTAGCACATATCAAAAATGATGGCACTAAATCTAGCTGTGTCCCTTATGCATTGTCTGGCTACTTTTGTGCTCTAACTTCCACAAGTAGTTGCAACCAAGACCTTGGAATTCACTTAGTCTAAAATACTCATTATCTAACCCTCTACAGAATCAGGGAAGGACAGACATGAGATCATAGACTTAGAGTTGTTTATATACATTAAGCATTGTATTGGTGTAAGCATTTATTTTGAACTGTGAATGATTGAAGTAAGTGCTAGGCATTAGCAACAATTAAAAATGATTAGTTCATATAATCCCTTTCAGGCATTTTAAATCACAAATGGAAAGTCATGTTTAAAGAAGTTTGTTTTTAAAAAGGGAGAAAGAAATGATACAACAGTGATACTTGGGGTTTTTGTTACAAGTATATTGCACAGGTACAAATCTCCTAATAGAATAAACCTGTCAGAGGTTAATACAGATGACTTCACAGTACATAAAACTCTAAAACTTTGAGACATAAAATGAGCTTGTAATTTAAAACAATATAATTTTAACTACATATGCATTTACCTATCACACATGAATGGTTGAGACTTTTTCATCTATATGAAGTCAGGTAATCTCAATTCATTTTAAAGTTCATTTCTGTGTGTGGCACTATGCGAACAAATTGTAGTTTGGGGTATTTTTTAAAGTATGTTATACCAAATTAGTGTTTTTAAAGGACTAATAACTGATTAACTATACAGACCAATTCCTGGAAAGGAGACTTTTTTTTACGTGTTAGCATAAGGATAGGGCAACATATACATTTCTTATTAAAACAAAGATCTTTGGTAATTTTCAGCCTTTGAACAAAGAAATATTATGCTTTAGGGCACCAGCAGTATAAATCAATATGCCATTTTCAATGCCACATGGTCTCTTGAACCTTATGGAACTTTGCCTGCCTAAGTGTGTGTGTGAAAGAAGAGAGCATCTGACACTCAAAGAGAAATTTAACCAACAGCTCTAATTCTGAAACATGTGTGCATGTGAATATTTTAAGTTTCACTGTATATATTAGTTAGAAAACTTAATATTTGAACTTATGTATTTCTAGAGAATGATTCAGACTGATGGTGTTAGTAAAAGCTTGTAGAAGGAATGTGAAATCTGATGCCTGGTAGCATCACTGTGAACTGAATTGTGAAAGCAGATGTCTGAAGCTCAGTGCATGTTAGAGTAAAGCACTCTTGTTTTCATTGACTGCATGAGAAGGTTACTGAATGATATTCTGTCACCACTCCCCCTGCCTGTGTGTGTGTGTGTGTTTGTATATGTGAGAGTGTGTGTTGCACACTTGCATGCGGTGCATTTGTCCATGCAGATTTGCTCATTTACATCGCCACAGGTAGAGATTAGGTGTTTTACTTAATCACTGTCCGCCTTTATTTTTGAAACAGAGTCTTTTACTGAATCTAGAACTAATTTTGGCTATACAAACTGGCCAGTGAGCTGAGGAATCTGCCTTTTTCCACCCACCCACCACTGGGATTATAGTACATGCTGTTGACAGGCATGCTAGAGATCTGAACTCAGGTTGTAATACCCAGTAAGTAAACACTTTACCAACTGAGCCACTTTCCCAGGACCTGTCACCCATAATCATAAAATTGCAGATTGAATTCAGTACTGCCGCTAATGTTGTACCACTGAGTCATATCTCCACCCTGAAAAGTTACCCTTCCCCAGGCTTTTTGGAATTTGAAAGGTTCTTTCTTTTACTATGTCTGTAAAGAATCTAACCAGGTTCTGTAGTAGACACTGACTAGAAGATGGCATTTCTCTTGTGAGCATGGAGGTGATGATTGTTTGCTTTGTTTTCCATTCCTGTGCCCCTTTCACTAGGATTTATTATATTATGGCTTTATTATATTATACAAGTGCTTGGGAGGCCCCTAATCTCCATGGAAGGGAGCTTGTGTCTTTTGGTTGCTCACTGAAGGAAACCAAACATTTTTGTTGTTAGTGTTTTTGGGGGAGAGTGTTTGTTTATTTGGCTTCTTTTTGCATTTCTGGGTCAGAAACTAAGCACTTTCCCATCTGTTTTTAAATTTTATTCTTTTAAATTTTATACATGTATATAATATATTGTACTCATATCAATTCCCTCATCCCCTTTAATTTCCCTTATGTTTCCAGGATGCATCTTGCTTGATGTTCTCTGTGTGTGTGATGTGTGTGTGTGTGTGTGTGTGTGTGTGAGAGAGAGAGAGAGAGAGAGAGAGAGAGAGAGAGAGAGAGAGAGAGAGAGAGAGAGAGTGAGTAAGAGAGAGAGAGATAGAGATTCAATCTGTTTAGTGCTGCCCATGTACACATGGATATGTGGTTACCCACTGAGATATAGACAACAGTGGTCATCCCATAAATAAAATTGTCTCTCCCCCAGCTCCTCCCCCATCCACAGTGTAGTCATTCTCCCTCGCTGATGGATTTTTAACTGGTTTGTGCAGGTTTTGGGGAAGGTAACCAAGGCTCCTGTGAGTTCATCTGTACAAATCCATGTTCTGTTCAAGGAACAGCATTTCAGAGCATTCCTCCTCAATTCTGCTCTTGTATTTTCCCTACCCACTCTTCCACTACGATCCCTGAACCTTGAATGTGAGGTTGATACAGAGCTGAGAACACTCTCACCTATTTTTGGTTATTTGAACAGCTGTGAGCACCCACATCAAGTGGCTCACAACACT